CCACAGATGGCACACTGCTGCTCTTTCTACATTGTGGCATTTTCTGATAATTTTGTGCGGGAAACCTAAAATTGTGCAGGTAACCGTTTGGATAGCTCAGTAGCAGCACTAAGGGGTTCTTCATTCAGATATCTAAAAATATAATTTTGACTAGTCATAATTAGGTTCAAAACATCTTAAGTTGTAATTACAGATATGTGTCCCATCAAATGAAAAATCCGGTGACGTCATTTGAGATATCTTAAAAGGAATTTTGACTCGTCAAAATGTAATTGAAGATATCTTGAATTATTATTCCTGCTAAGCCAGACTATAAATGCAGATATTTTAAATGACCATTATGGAGAGTCAAAATGTAGTTTTATCTAGTCAAAATGCATTTTGAGATATCTAGAATGTAATTACGCAGAGTCAGATGAAATTGATCTTATGTCAAAACGGACTGCCATAGTAGTGCTTTACCCCTGTGCCACTGCAGCATCCCAAGAGGGAACCTGGTCTTTTGTTCAGGTGATGCTCTGAACGGAAATGAAACAGGAGCTTCCCTTTTATGCTCAGCTCTTTCTTCACCACACCAGACATGTAAATAATAACAATACACTACTGTATTTGGGTCTTGCTGTGTGTTTCTCCCCTTTTGTCATGTTTAGCCCCAGCAACAAAATAAAACTCTGATCATGATATTAAAATCCAGGAAGCAGAAAATAAAATAGAAAATCTACAGCTCATCATTCTGAAGAAAGCAATCTGTTGCTACGTAGTAGCCCAGCCATAAGTACTGTCTGATGCCTTTAGTGAAAAAGAGAAAACTGAACTCCTTGTGTTTGTGTAGGGGATGATCAGCCTGGTGCTGGAGTGTATTGATCGTCTCCATGTGTACAGCAGTGCAGCTCACTTTGCTGAGGTGGTTGGAAGGGAGGCTGCAGAGGCCTGGAGCTCCATCCTCAACTCCTTGTATCAACTGCTGGGTACACACAGTATACATAGATGTGGACAAGCTTTACACACTTGCAGCCTCTGCTGACATCTTGTCTAATCCACCTTCCTTTCTTGTTTCAAGCTGCACTGATCCGGGGAAACAGGAAAAACTGTGCTCAGTTTTCTGGCTCTCTGGATTGGCTGATAAGCAGACTGGAGCGACTGGAAGCTTCTTCAGGTACAGCAGCTTGAACTTCAGCAAGACGTGTGTACGCTTGGTGAGGACAAAAATTTGATCTAGGAGAAAAAGAAACGGGCTTGATGCTTTGTGAGGATTTCACAACATGGAACAACAAGACTTAATTATTAAGATAAGATGATACATTTCAGAGTCCAACTTAATTAAGCATTTTCATTTTCTTCTAGAGTAGAAAGTTATTTTAACATCTTGTTGTGGAAACCCTCGATGTTTGGATGTCAGCTGGGCAAAAAAAGTCATCAGTACCCTGGAATCTAAAATCAGTTTGCGGCTCCAGCTGTGCTTCACAGTTGGAGGAAGAACTCTGTGACTTGCTTATAGAAGTGAACACCAAACTCACTAAGCTAAAAATGTTGTACTCGGATCACAAACCAAGATAAAGCTTTAGAGAAATACTGAAAAAAACAAGAAAACTAAGCAATGTTGGGTAACACTTTATTTGAAGGGGGGTGAATAAGACTGTCATGACACTGTCATAAACATGACATGTCATGAACATGAATAAGCCTTCATGAATATTTATGACTGTTGTCACAAAGCATCATTCGGTAAATTATGACACTTTTAATACAAAGTTGACATTATTCAAAATGTCTTTGTTATGACAACTTGACATTAACCAAGAAATCATTACTGTTTAAACTTTACCTTTAATAACATAGTTACCTAATTTTTAAAGTGCAATCAGTAATACTTTTATAACAAATTTATAACAGTAATGATTTCTTGGTTAATGTCAAGTTGTCATAAAGACATTTTGAATAATGTCAACTTTGTATTAAAAGTGTCATAATTTACTGAATGACTCTTTATGACAACAGTCATAAATATTCATGAAGGCTTATTCATGTTTATGACAGTGTCATGACAGTCTTATTCACCCCCCTTCAAATAAAGTGTTACCCAATGTTGATTATATCTAAAGTTTCCAAAACTTCACTGGACAATTTTGAAGAGTAAAGATGGAGGAAGGCAAGAGACGACATTTTGTTCATAGTGAAACCAGAAGGATTTAAATGCATGCAAAGCAGAAAACTGTGTTTTGGAAACGACATGTTTCCAAGTCAGTTTCTGTTGTGAAACCAACAAACCTAGAACTAGATTGCCTTATTTTGTGGACTTTTCCCTGTGTCAGCAGTTCCTGAGATTTTAAAGATTAATTAATTGATTCTTTTTGCTAGGTATCTTGGAGGTGCTTCATTGTGTGCTGGTGGAAAGCCCAGAAGCCCTAAACATAATCAAAGAAGGACACATCAAATCTATCATTTCTCTTCTGGACAAGCATGGACGCAACCATAAGGTAGTTCACCACTATAGAAGATTATAAATGACATAATCAAATTCCTAAAGCTTCTCATGTGCATTTGGAAATTTGGAAGTCCTTGTAGTCCTTGTAAGTGCTTATTTAGACAGACTTATACTAAGTTCAACAGACAAAAATATGTTTAAAATGTTTGTAATGAAAACTCAGATAAATGCCCTGAAGTGACCTAAATGTACTGATTCAGCTTGGGGAAGAAAGGAGAGCTAATCTGTGGTCTGTTGGTGCTGACCAGGTCCTAGACGTGTTGTGTTCACTGTGTGTCTGTAATGGCGTGGCAGTGCGCTCCAACCAGCACCTGATCTGTGATAACCTGCTGCCAGGAAGAGATCTGCTGCTGCAGACCCGCCTTATCAACCACGTAAGCAGGTATACACACACAAGCATGTGCACGCACACACACACACACACACACAGAAAATTGAACTGACTACAGTGAACTGAAACATTTTTGACATTTTTTTGTGGAGGTTAAAGAAACAAATCCAGTTGTACCTTCAGTACTCTTCCTCATGTTATTGTTGTCTTTATGTTTTCTAATCTTCCTGTCTGCTTTATTTCTCTCAACAGTATGCGCCCAAATATCTTCTTGGGTGTCAGTGATGGCTCTGCCCAGTATAGAAAGTGGTACTATGAACTTATTGTGGATCAGACGGTGCCATTTGTCACGTCTGAACCCACTCACCTCAGGGTTGGCTGGGCCAACACCAGTGGCTATGCGCCGTACCCCAGTGGAGGGGAGGGCTGGGGAGGCAATGGGGTGGGTGACGATCTCTACTCCTACGGCTTCGATGGACTTCACCTGTGGTCAGGTAAGCATTGTGATCATAACCTGTTCATGCAGCATGAGAAAAAACATTATTTCATGTTGTTCTTCAGAATAGTAACCATGTACAGTGATTTGTAAATATGTTCATACACTAAACCACCTAACCAAAAATAAAGGCAAGCAACAACTAAAAAATAATCATCTTTTAGCTTTATTTCTTTATTTTTTATATCTAATTTGGCCTTTGAAGAGAGGCTCAGATGGACAATGTGACAAAAACTTTGGTTATCTTTTTGAAAAAACAAGAAATAAAAGAATTCTATCAAACAGCATACCGTGCTGAGAAATGATGAGAACGAAAGCATGTTCAGGGGCAACAAGACCAGATGAAAGGTAGCATTGTAGAGGTTAGAGTAGAGACAATGACAGGTGAGGCAGAGAGCTAGCAGACTAAACATGGAGACCAAATGGAAGGAAGGAAAGCCAGAGCAGGAACCTCTGAGGGTTCATCAAACTGCTTTACCACAATGAAGAAGGAAAGAACAGTTTGTGACGAATATTTAGGAGAGGTTTAGAGTCTCTGAGATTATAAAATCTTACTGGGAGAGTGTAGTAAAGCAACATAGGACAGTAGATGGAAACAAAGAGGAGAAAAAGAGTATAGGCAGAGACACTGGAAGCTGAAGAAGTGTTCGAGAAAGTTCAGGGACAAGTTAGTGAAGAACTTGGAAAGGACAGCTAAGGTGGTCAGAGAAACTGATAGGAATGTATGTGGTGCAACTTCAAGCCAAAATAGAAAGTTGGTGGTGAAATAAAAAAGTGCTGAATGTAATCAGAGGAAGAACAAGGAAATATGGTGGGATAGTCAAAAAGATGAAGGAAGTAGACTGGGCTTCTGTGAGATTAGATGCCTAGGATAGAGAGCTGTAGCAACAGCAAAGGGGAAGACTTCTGATGAGCTCTATGAGAGGTTAGATAGTCAGTGAAAAGGATCTGCACTGATTAGCTGGGCAGAGGGAAAGAGTTGGAGGGAATGTAGAGCAGGTGGGTGTCAGTAAATGAGAAAACTGTGGTCAGAAAATGGAAGGAGAACTTTGAGGAGGTGATGACTGAGGAAACAGAGAAAGAAACTAGGAGAGATGGAGAGCACAGCTGGTCTGGATGACAACTCCATCCAGACCAGGTATACCTGGACAGGTATGGAGATGTGTGGTGTCAGTGGATGTACAGAGTTTTAGTAAATGCAGTGGTGAAGTAGATGAGCCACACAGTGGAGCACTGAGGTGATGAGCTCCAGCAGCACATTTAAATATCACAAGTCTATGTCCCAGCCAGCTGAGGCAGAGCTCTTGTTTTATATGATCCAGGTCAGATGTTTGACTTAATGTGAGCTGAATCTGTCTCTCCACCGATCCTGTGCAGGCTGCATTGCACGGACTGTTACATCGCCCAATCAGCACCTGCTGCGTTCAGAAGATGTGGTGAGCTGCTGCCTGGACCTGAGCATTCCCAGCATCTCCTTCAGGATCAACGGCCAGCCCGTTCAGGGCATGTTTGAGAACTTCAACTCAGAGGGACTTTTCTTTCCTGTGGCCAGTTTCTCTGCGGGGGTCAAGTTAGTGTTTAAATGGAAATTCTTTTCACAATATTACAATCTAACACATTAGTATGTGCCAGTATGTGGCCACTGCATAATATGTCACTGAGTGTGAAAAGGTAGGCAGGTTTCTATGACAGACTTAGATATAACATCAACCCGATTTTGTACTTCAACCCTACATTCAACTTCCATTTCAACAAGTACTGTGTTATACAAGCCCAGGAATTTAGAGCTGAGCTTCATTACTTTAAATTATTATAAGTTGTTATAAGTTAAATTTCATGATTCCACAATATTTCTTTCAAGCTTGTAAACGTCCCTCCTGTCACCCATGACCCTGCAGGGTGCGTTTTCTCCTCGGGGGGCGTCATGGAGAGTTCAAATTCCTTCCTCCTTCAGGCTATGCTCCCTGTTTTGAGGCAGTGTTGCCCAGGGAGAAACTCAAACTGGAGGCCAGCCAGGACCAGACTGTAGCCAGAGACCTGCTAGGACCCACTGTCACTCTGAGCCAGGCCGCATTCACACCCACACCTGTGGACACCAGCCAGGTAGTGACAAAATAATGCTTTAAAGCCTTGTTACACCCAATCAATGAAGTGACTGAAAGCTGATGGCCCAGCCCCCTGTGTGCGTGTATGTCTGCTTAGATTGTTCTGCCATCTCACTTGGAGAGAATCAGGGAGAAACTTGCAGAAAACATCCATGAACTGTGGGTGATGAACAAGATTGAACTGGGCTGGATGTACGGTGTGGTGAGTATGGAGACATGAGTCTTATTCAGTCAGTTCTGTGGTTAAGGTGGTTGGAAAGGCAGGTTTTAATGGCCAAGGGTAAAAAGTTTTTCTGGAAGTCAAATTAATAAATGTGTGTTTAATTTTGGCCAAGAGCACAAAACTAATTTTTAGCTCTTGGACATGTTCATCCTTTTTACATAAATGCTAACATACTGCACGAGTCATGGCTGTGGGACCAGATGTAATATGTGATAATTTGTTCATTTTTGTGTGAATTGCAGGTGCGAGACGATAACAAGAGGCAGCACCCCTGCTTAGTGGAGTTTTCAAAGCTTCCTGAACAGGAACGAAGCTACAACCTGCAAATGTCTCTGGAGACTCTAAAGTAATGCAGCTGCAGACGCTGCTTTAATTGAAATATCTATGAGTGGCATCCAGTTCTGACAGGGGCAGTGCACTTCTAGATAAAACTTCAGTGGAAATACTTCTGAAAATACTTGCATGTGTTTAGTTTATCCTGGTAAAGATGTGCTTAAAGGCTTATAAAAAATTGTTTTTATGGTAAGTGTAAGTTACCACTCTTTCCTTCAATTGTCTAACTTTGAAAGTTTTTTAGCAACCTTATCATCCTTCTCATTGTGTGTGGTTGCAAAATAAACTGAGGTCTTCTGAAGCCTTTAGTTCTGCTTTCAGTTGTTCTAAACATTTTAATTATGCGTCTGGTAGTAAACATGTTCATTTATGAATATAAGTGTTGTATTAATTTCCTGCTTTGTGACGATCAAAGCAGGAAATGAATTCATTGGATGGTCTTTCACTTTCCAATGAATTTCCAAAACAACTGTCTGTGTCATATTTATACCTCAGGAAAATAAAAGATCAACTTGAAATGTTTTATTGATTTCAATTCTCTGTGTTGCAGAACCTTACTTGCTTTGGGATGCCATGTTGGATTAGCAGATGAACATGCTGTTGAAAAAGTAAAGAGCATGAAACTATCACCAACGTGAGTCATACCCACAATTTGGCAATAGTAGCTGAAAAGCAGTTCACTTCATTTACTGTGTGTGTGTGTGTGTGTGTGTGTGTGTGTGTGTGTGTGTGTGTGTGTGTGTGTGTGTATATATATATATATATATATATATATATATATATATATATATATATATATATATATATATATATATATATATATATATGTCCTCACAATGCACTTTACAAGACAAAACAGATTCACTCAATTACATACATTCCAATTTTATCTTTGTAGAAATATCCTATAAAATGCTGTCAGGTGTGTTTTATTATGCTAATTGGTAAAACGTCTTTCTCTCCAAGGAGACCCAGACCACATTGAGTCACTGAGTTTGCAGCAATCTGTCAAACTGAGCATGTACTGAAACGTAAGAAATCCCTTTAAACAGGAAGAAACTTCCAGCAGAACTCACCGCTGATTAGAGGTCAGCTTCTGCTGAGGGCCTGAACAGAGACAGAAAGAAACGTGATATGTTAGGCCTGGGGTAATTCTTATGTCTAGGAGAATGTCATTAGTTAATTGCAGTAGCTCTTTTAAATGCTAAATAGGAGAGTAATACATTGCACTGCTCTGAGCCAGTAGTGCAACATATGGAGAGAAAAAGGAAAATGGAGTGAGCATACTGACATACAGCCAAAGGAACAACTGATCATTCTAGTTTCATGTGATCAAACAAACCAGCTGAACACTTAGAGGATCAGGATCAACAGTAATTTTCCACATTATTCAGAATAAAAAAATACCTCAGGCTCTTTAGTTACCAAGCAGGTTTGTCTGACAGTGTTGTCCTCCAACCCAATCTGTGCAGGTATGAGTTGTCCAGTGGCTACAAACCTGCTCCTCTGGACCTGGGTCACATCAAGCTGACTCCCACACAGGAAGCAATGGTGGACAAGCTGGCTGAAAATGCCCACAATGTCTGGGCAAGAGACCGAATCCGTCAGGGCTGGACTTATGGAATCCAGCAGGTGAGAGACCAACTTGTGGAGTTGGGCCTTCTCTGCCCATTTTAGCTGAAAAAATGATCAAGTGTCAAACATTAAAAAACACAATAAGGCTATGCATGATAAAAACCACTTGCATGATATAAAAAGATTAACTATTGTGCTTCCGTTCTGTCTACACAAAAGCTTTTAATAATAAATGTTTCCCACATAATATTATAAATGCAGAGAAAATCTGAGCGGTTTATCTGCATTTTTGGAGGAAGAAGCTGGATGTAGTGATGATGGAGAGGGAGCTGGTTCTACTGAAGGGCTGCAACCAGATTTATTTGAACCAGATAATACAAGAAGCAACGACGACTCCAAGGTTTCTGCTGAGCAAGAGTCCGTGTCTGTGTCTGCATGGCTGCTGTTTTAGCCTGATGCTAACTGATGATCCCTCTATGCAGTACAAGATTATAGCGAAGAAATATTAAACAGTTATCAGAAGTAGAAAAATCGAACTCAAAATGTGGAAATGGGAGGAACAGGAAGGCTGGTTATTGAATTCCATGATCAAAATATTCATATGTTGGAACACACACAGAACTTCCTTTTAAGTAACTGGATTATTTGAGTTAAACTAGGATTAAAATGAAATTACTGAATGCTGATAAACAGATTTATGAGTACATCATAAATCTGTTTATGATGTACATTAACAGATTTATGATCTGTTTATGTACAGATCATAAATCTGTACTCATACAGATTTATGAGTACATCATAAATCTGTTTATCAGCATTCAGTGATTTGGAGGCGACAGATGTCCTGCTCCAATCTTTCACCGTCTGACTCTTCCTCCCCAGAAACCTTGGAGTCATTGTTGCTTCTTGTACTATCTGGCTCAAATAAATCTGGCTGCAGTCCTTCAGTAGAACCAGCTCCCTCTTCTTCATCTTCACTTTAAAAGCCTTGCAGAACAAAACTGTTTTTAACAGGTTTTCTAAAGGGTAAAGTCTGTAAAGTGAAGCTGCAATGGAAAACAGCTCCAGAGTCCAGGAGCAATAGACTCCTAAATGTAGTTTTTCACCTCATGTCATGTAAGCTAACAGCTGAGCGGAGAAACAACCATCCTTTTACTGTTACTTGAAAAAATATTTCTTCCCTGTAAGGGGCAAATTATTTTTCATAGCTCTGAATCAGTAATTACTCCAAAACAGAAACAGACAGAAATCGTCATGGAATTAACACTGAGGAAGATTTTAAACATTATTCACCAGTAGAGACATAGTCACATCCTCTGCACTCGGTGAGTAAATATGGAAGTCATTGTTGTTCAGGTCGAATGAGCCTAATCACCAACCTTCTTGTTGTTTTTTCTTTTTATCTTATGCATTTTCAGGCCATTAGCATGGCCACTGAGACCTTTTTCTCAACAAAGCCAATCCTGTTCATACTTTGTTGACTTTTTTACCTTTACATTCAAACTCCCCTGAATCCAATGGATGTAAAAGCTCTTGCATTGCGTCTGGAATGTTTGATTTATCCCTTTGATGACTAATGTAATATTTCCTCAGCTCTGTTTACTGATTCTCCTCAGAAACTAATCCACTCCCAGCCCCTCCATTGGTAGGGATGTCTCACACATTGAAAACCTCTGCTGTGAGTCAGCAGTTTTCTGTCTCGGGTGATTGACTCACTTGAGAGGAACAATATTTTATAATTAGCTGCCATTGCACTAAAGTGTTGTAAAAACATAACAGAATTTGTTATAGTTGACTGTCTTAACTTTTCTTCCTTGTCAGGATGTGAAGAACCGGAGAAACCCTCGCCTCGTTCCATACATGCTGCTTGATGAGAGAACCAAAAAGTCTAATAAAGACAGTCTGAGAGAGGCTGTTAGGACTCTGTTGGGCTATGGATACAACCTAGAAGCTCCAGACCAGGATCATGGTACAACTCCCAGCTGATGCTAAATGTTTTCAAGCTCAATATTTTCAGTAAAAACATTTTAAAGCAAAATAAATGTCAAACTTAATCAGAAGTATAGCATATCAGAGGGAAAAATGCGATATATATCACAATATGATAGTCTAGTCCAGAGGTTCCCAAACTGTGGGGCGCGCCCCCTAAGGGGGGCGCCGTGTCATTGCAGGGGGGGCGCGGGAAGCCGTCTGGATGAAAACAAAACAAAACATGAACACTGTATGCGCTGGGTTTTTACCCAACTCTCTGTTATTCCTATGTCAATTTGATACAGTAGAGGCTTCCACACTTCCCATATTTGTGTCCTCTGTCACTTTTATCAGCAGTTAAAACTGTTTAATCCATAGTTAACATGTTGTAACCTGTTTTTCTGAGCCGCCTTTAAACGCAACATGAGCGCTACGACGCTCGCGCTGGAGGAGACCTGCTGCTGGGCGGAGCTACGTAGGTTTGTGTTAGAATCACGGCAGCAAACCAGCAAAACGCAAAGAACTTTTCACAGTTTTTACCTCCAAACTAACCGACTGAGTTGAGTAAAGCTGTTGGATGCAGGTAATAATGACTAGCTAATATCAATACAGAACCTTAAGCTTAACAAGTATCTTGTAGGCTATGATGTTGGTGTCTATTTTCAGCTACGTACATTCATTTTGCCCCCCAAAAAGTCAATGCCTCCCCCCCCCCATCACACACGTCGTTTCAACCAGACAGCCATTTGTAATCCATGGGGGGTGGGCGCAGAAAATGTTTGGAAACCACTGGGGGGTCGCAGAAGAAAAAGTTTGGGAACCACTGGTCTAGTCCCTCCAGGATGTTACAATGGTTTTTCTGTGATTGTTTGGCCTAAAATGACTGATTTTGCTGCATTTTTTCAAAAGGTTGCAGTCAAAGTTGCGCATGTTATTAAACTTTATATTTGCCACAGCTACTGAAAGAACACTTTCAAGTTGAAATATAATCTTTAATGCAAATCAAATCATGTCCTGAGGGGTTGTCACAGTGCAAATGAATAATTCCATATTGATCATTAAAGTTAATATGAACTGTTTATGGAAGTAAACCCTGCAGAACATCTGACAATGGCTTTTACAACAACAAAAAATAGGCAGATGTTAGCGTTTAGCAAAGGGGTGGGCGACTCCAGGCCTCCAGGTCTGGTGTGCTGCAACTTTAGCTTCAGCCAACCTGAGTCAAATAATGAGGTCATTAGCAGAACTGGACTGCACTTAGGAGGTGATTCAGCTATTTCATAGAAGTGTGTTGGACCAGGGAGACTTCTAAGAGTTGCAGGATACTGGCCCTGGAGGACCAGGATTGCCAGCCCTGGTTTAGCAACATCCAGCTTACTGAGGCATGTTTCACAAAAGCTAGATAGTGAATTAAGCTAGGATTTTCCTAGATATCCTGGCTTAATTCGGTTAAGCCTTGATGCGGTTTCACAAAAGCAATAGCACATGACTTACCATGGTGATTTATCTTGTGCAGTTAGTGTGCTCTAGACTAGGCTAACAGCCAGGCTTAGATCATCCTGGTTTCCTACCTGTTCAGTCAGCAGTCACATCAATCAGAAGCCAATGAGTTTTCTCATTGGTTTGTCTGTTTTGGTTTGTTTAAAGCTGTAAAAATTCCTCGAATGATTCGAGTATCTCGATTATTAAAATTCCTAGTAGAGGCGAATTATGTTCGTAGAAGCTTTGTTAAATTACTATGTTTCTGGCCGGGTGATTATTTGTGTTGCTCAATGCTCTGACTTGGTGAATTGATGAACGCTGAGTCAAATTTTCAAGCAAAACATCCAGTTTTCAAGTTCAGTCCAGGGGGATTGCATTGATTGATGATATCCAACTATTATCGTTTTTCGAGGGACCAATAAGCATCCTTAAACTGACTGGCGCCATGCATGGAATATAACAGCTTTTCTCTTCCTGGAGTTGCTGCCTACCCCTTTGAGATCTCAATTTGATATAAGGAGCATTATAAATAAAATAAATTATTATTAATTTCTTAGCATTTTGGTGGTGTCCTCTTCCACTTATCAAAAACCTTAATAGGCTCTGTTATTGCTAGAGTCAGCTTCCACTGTATCTTGCATAGTGTATTTAACCTGAACATTGTTCCATCATGCAGTTATGAGACTGGTTGTTTAATTGCCTCCTTCTTATTCAGTGTACCTCCTTCCTTTTCTAACTCTGCAGCTGCTCAGTCTGACGTCAGCAATATGTCTGCAGAGAGATTTCGCATTTTCAGAGCGGAGAAGACCTACTGTGTTAACACTGGGAAGTGGTACTTTGAGCTGGAGGTAAGAGAGAATGATAAAATCATCACAGAAATGATAGTGATGGTGAATCTTTTAATAAGCAATAACTGAAATTGACTATTTGGCTATTATTTCTGATAATCAGGTGGTGTCCCAAGTTGTGCTAAATCCTCATATTAGAAAAGTCACTTAATGCTTGTGGGCATATTTGCTATGTAATTAGAGTCAAAGGAATTAGGAATTTTGAAATTATGGATATTAAGGTTCCATGTCATAAAGGCCCGTTTTGAGGACAGTGAAATTGAACTTTCAATATTGAAAAAAAGGAAATTCTGACTTCAAACAGAGGGCATTATAGCCCTGTTCAGACCTGGTCCAATGTGCATCATAACTAATCTGTACATCAGCACCACAAGCAAAATTCGTCCCTGACGAATCTAATCTGGTCTGTACAGAGTAACTGAATCTTAGCTTTGTGCTTGACGAGGAAATAAACCATGCAGCTCCTTCAGAGAGCGGGCTGTCCGCTGAGCAGCCAGCAGGTCAGCTGATGTTCCTGTAACAGCTCAGATACTCTAAATCTCTTGAACTACGCTATTATTCAGACCCTAATATGGCTGAGATTAATCTGAGGCACATCTTTGAGGAGTTATTTCAGGCTCTTTATGAACTCACCTGTGTGGTTTTAACAGACTCAATAATAGAGACAACAGCTCAGCATTAGCACACAGAGACTTGGAATCATTAAACACCACAGTAGAGCAGCCGACAGCTCACTGGAACAACTTCAGTAGTCAAGGCACATTGCACTGTGTAGAAATGACTGGACATCCCACAGTGTAACATGTGATCACAGCTTGATCAATCGGCAAACCCCCCCCCACATCCAACTGCATTTCAGAGATAAATTCATTCATGGGACAAACAAACAAATATCCACAGGACCGTATAATTAGTTTAGATTAATTGTTTTGCAGTTGTTTACACATTTGTTTTTAGTTTCTAACAAGAGTCCTGCTTGAGGGGAGTCACTTCAAGTCAGTGGGGGTCCCTGAATGTCTCCCAGGACGGATCGTATTCAACTCACAAAAGTAACATGGATACAGTGCTTTTAGACCTGCATTTATCGTCCAATCATCTAGAATGCATGTTGGTGACAGATGTGACCAAGGCCTGTGACTTGAGCTTCACTTCTTCTGCACTGCATTCCTAGATTGTTCCTGCTGGTTTCTTTAGGTACTGACAGCTGGAGAAATGAGGGTGGGCTGGGCAAGGCCAGGCTGTCTACCAGACCAGGAGCTGGGATCTGATGACCAGGCCTTTGTCTTCGATGGTTTTAAGGTGATGAATGAATGAATGGATGGATGGATGGATGGATGGATGGATGGATTATTCCTAAATGTGGCTGTGATGTATCCCAAACAGGAAAAAAACTCATACCTGAAACTACTGAATCCTTTTTTACCATAAACACAGTGAGATGTAATTGAACAGAAGTTCCCTTCCCCAGGAGACCTTGAGAGTCATCACGATACAGAGAATCATTTGAAAGCCACTATTGTGAAAATGTTGTGTTGGAAATCATGATTCCAAAAACATATAACTCAACCACATCGCCTTCCTGCATTTTCCATGTTAGCACACATAGGAGTCAGTTTGGAACAACTTAAAACTTTGAGTTGACTTTCTATAGAATTTAGTCAGAGGTTTGAATTATTTATTGGACAACTGAGTATTAAGTAAGAGTGACTCAAATTCACTTAAATTTGTCTTCAGCAGTCATTTTATAATAAGGCAACCTCAATGAGCCGAAGAATTATCATCCATAAACATAAAAGTACATTTGTGTTCATGAAGGTGTACAGTGTCGAGAAGAATGGTATGATTGGGCTTTTCATGCACTAAGTGTAGGGCAGTAGTTCTATTGAAAGTCCATTAAAAGTGCCAACTTTGCATGATTTTGTAAATTATGATAATTTAACGCAAAGTTCACCTTTTTAATGGATTTCACTGCAACTTTTAGAGCAACTTTGCATTAAAAGTGTCATTATTTACCGAATGACACGAATGAATGTTTATGTTCATGACAGGTGTTATGTCATGTTTATGACAGTGTCTTGTCAGTCTTATGCACATCCCTTTTCCCCTTGAACCAAACATTTGAGCTGCAATTAGTTACATCCACCATCTTCTACTCTTTAAGTCTAACAAATTCCGCAAGTTTTAGATTTTAGGATAACGTCCCATTCACACTAAAAGTTGAGCAAAATTCATCGTAAAGTTTAATAAAATTCATCATCAGATCAGAAATTTTTTTCATGCAATTTGAAGCAAGAATTTAAATTATTCAAAAGTAAAATAAGTAGTTATTTTAACTTGATATTGTGAGTAAAATAATAGGGAAATGTGTGCTCTTTAACTAGGCGTGGGAAGTTTTTTTTAATATTGTGAAATAATTTGGTTCAAATTTCAGCATTAAGTTAAATCTCACAATTGTAGATTAATGAACTTAAAAATAATATTTAGACAACTTGTGTTTTGTTGTTAAATTAACTGCTGAGTTAAAACTAATACAATTTTCTTGCTGGCTTAAATTGCATTTTCAAGGCAGCAGGTGGACGTTCATTTCCAAGTTAAACCACCTTGAAATGTTTTACAGTGCACCTAATTCAGGCTACCACCACCTATCTCCACTTTGAAAGGAAGCTTAAAGTCTGGTTAACCAAGCACTGGTGCACCGGTTAGTTGAAAAGTCTTTTGTACACTTTGGTCTCCAGGAACTCTTATACTACTGATTAACTCTGGCCAGCAGTTTGTCTTTAAGGCAGGTAGGTGTTCACCATGTCATGCACTCTAAAAAGTGTTTTTTGGCTGTAGTTCATCTTATGGACTTATTTACATCTCACTTAATTCATTTAGTGTTGATAACTTACTTTTTGTGTTAAATTAACTTAAAAGTTACACATTTAACTAACTTAAATTAACTTAAAGGAACTTTTTACTTTGACTTTATTTGAAAAAAATAGCATTCGATGCCAGTTTCATATCCTATGTCTGACCAACTCAATATATTATGATCATCCAACTTAATTCATTACGTTTAGCCAACTCAGTTCAGACAAATTTAAGTGAATTTGAGTCACTCTTACTTAATACTCAATTGTCCAATAAATAATTCAAACCTCTGACTAAATTCTATAGAAAGTCAACTCAAAGTTTTAAGTTGTTCCAAACTAAAATACTAAAATATCCAAAGTTACATTATCACTCACATTTCACTTAAAATGCAGCTAGAATTTAAATGATTACAAATGTATGTTTTAACATGTTCTTTAGTTCTTGTACACTGAAAAAAGAAAATAGTTTATCCAACTTAATTTATTAACTTGGTTTAACTTAATATATAAGAGGAGGAAGACATGTAGCAAAGATCATCAGGCTGGAATCAAACCTGCGATGGCCGTGACGAGGACTAAGGTCTCCGTATGAGTTGTGCATAATCGCTGTGCACCTGGTTGGTGCTGTGATGGCACAGGATCTGTACCTGGTGACATCAGACGTAGGATACCAACACGGCATTGAAGTCAACTGAAATAATTACGTTTCAATTAAGTTCATTGAAATTTAGAGTGCACTCCTAACGCAGTCTAAGAGTACACTTCTTAGAGTGCACTCTCAAAAGTGTAATTGAAACAATTAAGTTCAATGCTGTGTTGGTATCCTCCATCTGACATGATGATGCAAGTTTCACCAG